AAATATCGGGTCATTGTTGGGCGCTTTGTATACTTCGGTAAAAGTCTCAAGCTCGGGCACCTGCGTAGCAGGTCAGCAAACATCGAAGACGACTGACAGAAACTGGAGGCAGCTTAGGGCCAGACTTTTTTTCTACCATTCGGCTTCATCTATGAGAGCAATTTCAGGTGGATCTTGACTCAAGTCGAAGAGGTCTACACTATGGGCTAGCTCACTTACTACGTCGTTGGCAAACATTTGGTTGCGTCAACGCCAGGTAGAGAGCACTGCGATCAACGTCTCAAAGAGTGAGTCTACGTAAACGTCGTGAAGATATTATTAGCCTGATGGCGCTCCTAAAGCATACCGGCATCCCCATTTGGACAGCCTCAACACTGTGATACTATCGCGATACACTAAGAGAATATTGTCATCGCAGATCAGCTCATTTTCGACTCTACACCCTCCTTGCGGCCTCTTCAGCGCGTCTACCAAACTTCTTGATCCATGAAGCATCGTAGGAATCTAATTCTACCGCGCGTTGAGGCAAACTTCTCTTAGCGGGATGCACGTTGGCTGCGGTGATGTTCCCGCAGTCGGGCCGCTTCAAGTCATTTCCAAACACATCAACGGCCCAAAGGAGAACACCGTTCGTCCAGCCGAATCCTTCAACCACTTCATATTCTCCACCACCACCCGCAACGTTGGTTGAGTTATCGCCGTACTTCTCAAACATGGTTCCGACGCTCTGGGCGGTCAAGCCCTGGAGCTGAGGAGTCTCGCTGGTTGAACCCCCCGTAGCGTACCAGGTGCAAAAGGTAGAGTCCAGGTACCGTTGCCCGAGGCGGAGGGCGAGACTCTGGACATCACGCCAGGCGGGATCCGACTCTCCAAAGGTGGCAGGTGTCCTGCGGAGACCTTCCATAAGAACGTGCATCAAGGGCGGCCAGACGTTGGGCTGATCCCACTGTTGACCTGTCTTGAGGTTTGTGGCGGGGATACCGCCCTTCTTGATGTCTAGATACTTCTCAACACGCTGGTAGGCTTGCTTTACCGCGTAAGGGTTATTCTTGAGGTGAGAGGGTGCCGCTCCTGTCCAGAACGGGTAGAATTGGGAAACCGAAAAGAGAACTTGTTGTTCTGCTTCGGCGGTGTTCGTTTCAAGAGTGCTGGCATCATCATCTTTCGGAATGTAGATATTCTGCCCTCCTGATGTCACGTTGTAGTCAAAGTAGCTTGAAAGGGTCGAGTTCCACATCAAATCGTACATAGCTTGACTTCGTTTGGTGGCAAGTTCAGTCCAAGCCACTGCTCCCGTGCCGTTGTTTGTGGAGTTGAGTAGCGCAGCAATGGTCATCTCATTCCAGTACAAGATGGAGTTCAGCTCCACAGGGACAGTCTCCAGAACGTTGAGAGATCGGAGAGGGAAGTAGACGTCCCTCGCCGCATCTGCAGGTCGAGAAAGCCATCGTGAGCTGTAGTCCCAGCCACTCTCTGCACCGGACGCAAGATTGGCATACACACGGGCCTTTTCGGTGTCGTTCAATTTCTCGACCTCGGGGTAAATGATTCCGTTGGTTGAGTAGTAGGAAGCGTTCGAAGCAGTGACGTAGTCTTCTCTGTATGATTCGGGTCTTGGTTGTGTGTTGGTGACGTTGTATCTGATCCTTGATGTTAGCTACAAGCTACTAAGTTTGAAGGTCTTGATATTTTACTGACTGATTCAGAGTGTATGTAGTCCCGTTTTTGTTGACTTCAACAGTTCTGTTTGTCATCCAGAATTCATGCTCCTTGATGAGGAGAGGGATTGCGCGTTCTAGTATGCTCCGGTCGCTTGTATACTCGACATAGAGGCGCACCATCTGTGCCAGCAATGGCGGCTGTGAACGGTTCAGATAGTAGATTCGAGCGCCATTGGGCACAAACCCGAGTTTTTCCACGAGATCCAAGAAGTTTTCGATGACATTCTTGGAGATCTCAGTGAAAGCGCCACCCGTGCGTAAGAGACCCTCAAGAATCCCTACATGGCATTGAAAGTCAGTTGACAACTCGCCCTACGAACATGAACTTTAGTAGTGTGTTCTTACAGAAAGAGTCCCAATAGTAAGGCTCGCGGAATCGGCCTCCGGCAACCACAAAGGTGTGGTTGACTGGGATGAAGCTGTTTGGACATGTTGTGCAGTTGCTTGCAGAGCCAGCGTAGGTGCGGGTCAAGTCCGGCCAGATGGCAATGACCTTCTGAGAGAATTCCTTGATCACTGTATCGTTGATCTTGTCGAGAAACTTTGGGTCCGTCTTCAATTGGTCCTTGGGTACTTCCTTGAGTTCACCACCTGCTGCGGCGAAATTGGCGCGTAGGAAGTCATTGAGTGCAGTATTATTACTCAAAGGTTTCGACAGATTGTTGAATGCTGCTTGTATCTCTTCCAGGGACTTGATTGCAGGCCTTTCGAGTAGGGATGAATGTCAGTAGAGAGCCTAGGTCGAATTTTGGTCACATGGTGGTGTCAATGGGCACTCACATGTCTACAAATGTCTTGGAGTCTGAGAACGGTCTTGCCAGTTCAACTTCTTTCAAGATGTCGCCATGGCAGTAAATGGGCGAGTCGCAAGGAGCGACAACAGACCCATTCTCATACAAAGCCTGAGCTGTCCGAGGCAAGACAGCTACAGCTACGAGGGCCAGCGCAAAGTTGACCATGGCGTTCAATTGAGCTCTCGGAGGAGCTAGTATATACACAATGGTAGTATTATTGAACGGGTAGATCCAGGGACGCAGACGAGGTGTTCACTTCGGATGAAGTGGCTTACGACCAGGTATAAATGGGCACAGAGGGAAGCACGTTATGCATATGGGAAGCTGCCAGGCTACCCACCAGGATCGGCTGTAGCTTCACTTGCCTTAGGTCGGGAGGGGAAGCTTGGACGGGTTCGTCGCCAGGAGGGATCGTCGGTCGCCTGAGATGGGCAAGTACCGCAGCAAGGCCAGGGCAGACCCGGGCCGGTACCAGGGGGCAGTGAACCCAAATGTATGTACATAGGCTTTCCCAGGATGTTAGACATAATGACCAACACAATTTTGAAAACTCCTTCGTTTCCTGCGGATTTACGTGGGCGGCCGAGCAGAAGGTTACCGTTGTTCGGCGCCGTTGGGCTTGGAATATGCTGGGTCCGAGTCAATTCTGCGCCATCGCAGGCATCTTGGGTTCGCGGCATGGCAGACGACACGTTGGACGCCACAACACGCAACTTTTACCAATCGAGACAAGGGCGCTGTCACGTCGAGCAAGGCAGAGAGACAGACACCGAGAAATGAAGCTGGCTGGCTGGCTGGCTTCGCCGGTCCTGCTTGCAGACGACGTGCAGCTTTCCCCGCATGATCCAGTCCTTTGGGGAGCCGTGGTAGAGCCGCGGTACGAGCGTCATAGCACCGATTGGCCGCCTGTTTTGTTTCCTCTCAGCTCTGGGAGAAGCTTCTAGCTCCAGAAACGTCCAGGAGCATGATGTGCCACCAGGCTAGGCGTATTGGTGCAAGGGTAGGCGGAAAGTATGGGTGACGAGCATCGTATGTCATCCCACTTGGACCGACAGGTATTGTGACGTCAGCAAGGATGACCGTGGGATCTTGCGAACTTGGTATTAGTCTTGTCTTGGGAATTGCGGTAAGAATGCCTGTTGGCGGGGTATTAAAGGCTTTGTTCGGTGCTCGCCAGACCATGCGGTAATTGTTATTGGACAAATGAGCCGGGCTCTGCGGAGAAGCTCGGCGGTCCCGGATACAGCTTTCCCCACACTCCTCCGGAAATTGCTCCGAACGTTGTCTTGATGCATTCGAATACAGATACCTACCACCTGTACGTTTGTCCACACAACTATGTCAGCGGCGTTGGAGTAACCCTCGAGGTCTTCAATATTCCGCGTTTGCATGTTCTTTCTTCTTCTCCTGCTGTCTGCCCATCGTCGAGACACGGAGGCGCAGGCGATGTGCGAGTGATGCTTCCCCACGTGCAACAAAACGATTGCCAGCGATGTACTCCGTACTTTCAACTTTTTTGCCCAAGGGTCTACCTCCTTGTGTAGCTTTTGTGCCTGGAGAGGAGCGAAAGCGAGATTCTCAGGTGGTGTGGGAGAAACCCAATATTTTGTTACATCTGTTGACGTGTAATCGTAGGAAATCCCGTTCCCATCGGTCTTGAAACTCCCACAAGTTGATTTACGACAACCACTCGCTTTCGAGAGTTGAAGGCATCTTGAGGGATGAGGGTTGACCACATTGATATTAAATATTGGCCAACGACCACTGGGGCTGTCCTATTCCAACTCCCTATCAATATGTAGGTACTTTATTCTCGATGATATGTTACATTTGACTTCTCAGTCATTTTACTCATCGGCACTTCAAGCCGGCATTGCATGTACAAACGCCTGCAAAGCTGATCCACGTTCGTGCAGCGCGCCGCAGCAACCTTGATTACGGTTGAATTTCACTTCGCGCCAGAGCCATCTTCATTTACCGCACTTGAATGTGTATACACCTCTTTCAGAACCTGCAATCGGCAACGGAGTTCTCGTGTCAAGGCCGACGGCGCGTAGGAAATATTATTCATGAGAATGACATATGCCAAGTGGCTTGATCATGGGCCACCCTGAATGATAGATTTCGTTTTCGATATTTTGCACACCAAAGTTTGGTTGCAGACCTCAAGCTTGATGTCTGGTTTTGCTCGCCATACATGATATTTTGGACGGTTGCCCTGTCTTTCACAATGATTGACTTGTTGAGACGACAGGGATGAAGCAAGGGTCGCTCGTCTTACATCAGCTGCCCTAAGTAGAACCCTGAAAGGTCAGCCAGCAAGGCTTACTTTCTTCACGCAATTCGGGTCATAGTCAACTGACACGAAGGCCGAAGCTGTGACAGCCTCAGATGATTAGAGCATAGAGACGTAACATCGTTGATTGAAGTTGGCATCGTATGAGGAATATCAAGTCCAAGAAAACCCAAGAAACCACGTTCAATCTTAACGCGGCTGGTACATGTTCGTTGGGCCCTTCTCCCCTCCTGTTGTCTGACTACCGCCCTCCAGAGCTCGCCGAAAGACTTGCTCTAGCTTAGGCAGAACCCTGTCTTGGTTCTGGGCAATTTGATAATGGATAACCAATCTGTTGCCAATGAGCTTCAGTCCCAATTCCGCCCCAAACGCGATGAAGTCCTGGGTGCTGCACCCAGCAGCATCTAAATCAAGCCAGCACATGTTGGTGTCGACCGGAAGGGTAAGCTTGCCACCGAGACTAGTCCAGAGTTCCCCGATTCTCTTTGCGGTCTCATGAGACGACTTCAAAAGACCACCCTCGCCATTGGGCCCCTTTCCGAACGTCTCGTCAACGGCAATCCTAGCAGGAGCTGCTACCACTCCAGACTGCCGGAGACCACCGCCGATAGACTTGCGCACCCAGCGGGCGTGCTTGATTTGCGCTGCGTCGCCCACAACGATGCTTCCAATCGGAGCACCGAGACCCTTTGAGAAGCACAAGCTGACCGTGTCGAATAGTGAGCAGTATTCGGAGAGACTACCGGCTCCAGAGGCAACGGCCTCCCACATTCTGGCCCCATCGCAATGAAGCTTGAGGTTGTTCTTCCGTGCAAACTCTGCGATCCTCTTGACCTCGGCCAGGGGGGTCACCACGCCGCCGAGGGTGTTTTCCAAGCTTATGACCCTGGTAGGACAGGTATGGACATCGTCATCGAGAGCAGCATGGGCCTCAATGTCCTCTAGTGTCAGGTAGGCTCCATTACGTGGTACCACGGGCTGTATCATGGCGCCACAAAGCGAAGCAACGCTGACGAATACCAATCAGTAGATGTCGCACGGTACGGGAGCTAAAGGGGGATGCACGAACCCGCCAGCCTCATACTTGATAATATGTGAGCGATGGTCACTCAAGACGCTGTATGGAGGTTGCGTGAGGAGGGCTCGGAGCGCTACTTGGTTCCCCATGGTCCCGGAGAGAACCAAGAGAGCGGCCTCCTTGCCAGCAAGAGCTGCGACGTGAGATTCGAGTTCCATCGTTGTGGGGTCTTCCACGAAAACATCGTCCAGCAAACTGCAATTTTGAATGGCAGCAAGCATCGAAGCCGTCGGAGTGGTCATAGTATCGCCTTGTAATTACGGTTACTTTACCAATCTTTGATTAAGCCGACGTCCTTACTTACTTCTTAGGTCGAAGCCAGCGGCCCCGAGATGACCAGCCCAAGCATTCTGCTTAGGGGCACCAGCAGTGCCATTGCTCGTGTTACTGACAGCAGATGGGGACATGGCTCCTGAAATTGGTCGGGGAGATGATGTGTGGATGGATGCGGCAAAGCCTGGAAGCGTGTGGCGGGTGAGGGCGTTGAAGGCCGTTGACAGCTGCGGGGTTGGCTGGTTATGAGATCGCCTCAATGCCGCGCGCAAGGCGAATGGAACTGTGGGTGATCGATTGGTTAGTGTTCCGGCCTGGCTTCAAGAGCTTCAAGAAGGTAGGATGCTCTTATTTGAGTGATTTCTAGTGCTTTGGCATTGAACAGCGAGGTGTCTGGTACCATGAAGCTGTTTTCTGAGCAGGATTAGACTTACTCGTTCTCCTTGCCAAATTCATCTTTTCTGGGGTCTGGCCGGGACGAGATGCTTTCGTGGGCCGGTTGTATACAAGCTCTCCATACAGATACGCAGTATCGGTGCGTTAACTGGCAAGTCCGGGGTCGGAGTCGGGGTCGCTGTGGAACAACCAGCGACGTTGTCATGAGTGGAGCACCACAAGAAAGTTCCGAGGTACGGATGGTCTTGGACGCTTGGCAGTTGCCCAACAACAGTAACAATGGACCACAAAGCTGAGTGTAAATCCGTGCTACTGGAATTTACCATTTAATTACTTCAGAGATGGTATATCAAGTTGCTTCTGTTTCCGCATATATTCATGTCAGTAATTAAGTACTTACTATCCGTGCTGACTACGTAACTATGTAATTCGTACGTAGCTTTGCTCGTATGTACCTATTGGCTCGGCATCGACTTGCCGGGGCGTTTGACATCAAGCGCTCTTTTGATGTTGCTTATCTTATCTTGATCTCCGCAGGGGGCTCTGGAGTAATGAGTTAACATGCGATGGTTTGGCTAATGCGTCTCACAGAAAAATTGGAGAAGGCTACAATATACCTAAAGGGTCGTTACTCGGTATAATTTCAAATGTCGCAGGAACACCAGCTTGGCGTCTTGACATCTCAGCTCTAAGCCTCCTCCAGCGGTGAAGAATGTTTTTGTTTCAGACCAATAGGTGCTTGAATCGAGCAAGCTTCGAAGCTGGGGCCCGTTGGGCTTGGCCCGTGATGGCATTGCTAGAACTTGAAACCTGGGCGGTGGGACAGTGGCTGCTCAGACACACCAAGCTCTGAAGGCCTTTCTTGACCAGGTATTGAGACGAAAGCTTCACCTTGGCTTGTGTTGTCTTTCAGGAGTAGGTGGGGGGTTAATATGAGGGATCGTGAACTTTTGAATTTTTTCTTAGGCCATAGCATACGGCATCGTGTATACCCGCAACAGGCAGCCATCATCAAAGTCCTTTTCTGGTGCTGTTGACGGTGGAGTTCCGCCGACGATGGATTGCGCCTCACAGCTTGCGTAGGGGCGTTACTCAGCACATTCGGTGCCATACCATGTTGATCGTCGGAAAAGGAGCGCGACAATGCTGACAGCTACCGTCGTTGACCTTGGCGCAGCAATGCCCAGCTTTTATCTTTGTCGCGCTTTCACCTGTTCGAGAGACATACGACTGCGTAGGGCCACTGGTCAGGAGTGACTAGACCCCACTCGGCCTGGTAAAAGCTTCTTCTTGCTACACCCCTGTTGGCGGCACCAATCACGCAGGACGTCCCCTGCTTCTCATCTTCTACATTCACACTACCCACGCACGACGGAACCACGGATGTTCGTGCCTTCTCGCGCTCATCTTGCAGCTCACCTCCCATCAAGGGCGAGTCGAGTGCTGGTGGCCATTAAGAGAATGATTCTTGAGCTGGGAACATCAGTATATGTTTTCTTAGATTGTATAGTTTCCTCCTCTCAGGCTGGCTCGTCTGATCTACTACCATAAAATAGAGTTATCTTCTCGGCGTTTCTACATGAACAGAAAACGCAAGCGGCATTGGTCCCACACTTGATCCTGGACTCATCAACGTCAAAGATGGAAGGCCGAACGGACGGTATCTCAATGTGCCGGCCAAGCTTACCATTCCTCCAAACACTCCTGGACAACAGGCCACACACGCGCAATTGTAGCCCGGGTGGACATATGTCTGCAAGTGCAAGACATGGGAGACTCATATCCACCTCGAGCTGAGAGGAGACATGTTGCCGCCATGTGCCTGTCAATTTCGACAATGGAACTCGACCGATCTGCTCTTCAACGCAATTTCAGGGGCTCCCTTGGTTCGTGTGAACTATGAAGCGCCCGCCATCGCGCTATTTAGTGCTACCTTTGTGGTAACCTAAACTTGCCCATAGCTGAGGCTTTCCCCGGTAAACCGCCCAGCTGGAGTGTGCCACTTTGATCAGAACTTCTGCCTACCTTAGTGTAAAACGTTTATTTCATTAAAGCGCGTGTGCTTGCTTGACTTTGCTTCAGCTCGCCCCCCCACGCTCCTTCCTCTGGCATCTCAAGCTACTTCATATTTCACAGGTGACACCGGTGCTCGAGCCTGTCCGAGCCTCCAAATACTCATACACTTTATATACCTACCGGTTTCTTCCCCTGGTATCCTGGGGTTTTCACACTTCCCCAGTTCTGAAAATATGCGACAAGGCTGTTCCCGCCATCAAACGATCCGTGGCCCGGATGCTCTCATCTGAGCAGCTCTGCAAAGCCTGTGTTCCTCACACTGCCTTCCGGCTAGGATTTCCTTTCACGCTTCTACCAGTAACACCGGCCTAGGGTGGAGGCTGCATTCGCCGTATCTCAAACCCGGTCACCAGACTTTATTTTGAGAGGTGAAACGAAACGGCCTCGCCGCCACAATTCAAGACCAGAACATCTGCCCTTCCTACTCAGGTCGCCATCTGTCAGTCAACACCTAACCCATCGACACCATGGTTCTTCAATGGCACATTGGCTTTCCTGTCATCCTGAAACTCTTGTTGGCGATAACGATCTGCCTCATTTTGTACTTTAGCCAACATCCTGCACTTGACAGATTCGACCATCGCATATCGAACCTCGACCTGTCCCTTAAGCTTCCCAAGGGCGGTCTCAATTTCGGTAACAAGAGCGACCATCATGGCTTCTACTCCTCCGATGCTGCTGCCAAGTTTTGCAAGCACCACGGTTACCCCGTCTTCACTCCCCAGTCAGAGACTGGCCAGCGAAAGGTATACGACCTGTTCATGGTCAACACAGAGCTCGACTGGATGGAAATACGCTTGAACTCTACCTACAACTACGTTGACTACTTTGTCATCGTTGAGTCTCCAAAGACTTTTACTGGCAGGCCCAAGCCGCTCACGATCAAGGAGAACTGGGACCGGTTCAAGCCTTACCATGACAAGCTCATCTACCACGAGCTCGAATTCCCGTCAGATTTCAATCCGAGAAGGTCGTGGGACTACGAAGACTTACAGCGCAACGCCATGTACACCCAAGTGTTGCCTAGGCTCGTCGGAAAGCAGGCTCCGGTATACGGGGACGTTATTCTCGTCGCCGACGTTGACGAGATTGCTCGACCGGAGACACTATTGCTACTGCGAACGTGCCAATTCCCCCGTCGCCTCACCTTGCGTAGCCGGTTTTACTATTACAGTTTCCAGTTCCTCCACACGGGACCTGAGTGGGAACACCCGCAAGCCACTTACTACCAGGGCTCACGCACGCTCCTGCCGGCGAACCTCCGAATGGGAGACGGGGGCTTCAAGCCGCTTTACGACCTCGAGAAGGCGAATCTCGGGAACGCCTGCTGGCACTGCTCTAGCTGCTTCGCCACTGTCGATGAGTTCCTCACCAAGATGTCGTCCTTCTCCCACGAGTGGATGAATGGCGAGAGGTTTCGAAACAAGGACCGTATAGCGGACGCCATTAGGAACGGAAAAGACCTTTGGGGCCGAGACGTTGACCAATTTGTGCGCCTCGAAAATAATACAGATATGCCGAGTATTCTGCTGGATGAGCCGGAAAAGTTTGGTTATATGGTAAATAGGGATGGGCCTTCAGCTGGGTTTACCGACTACCCATGACCGTCCTGAACTCCCGTCTCTTACTTCTTTGGTCAAGTTTGTCATTTTCCATTTTGTTTTAATTGGGCACATTAGCATGGAGTTACTGCTTACATGGAGGAATCGCATCGTCGTCTTTTCCTGGAGGGAGGGCCGGCAGATCCAAAGGGGAGGGCACCTGGCAAGCCCTTTCGAGCACTAGAAGAATTTAACGCCCTGTACAATACATTCTCAACACTCATGCTCGTGCCGCATTGCCTTGTGGATGGTGTGAGAGGCATTCCAGCTCCTCGATAAAGATGTATTGCGGTGATATGGATTACATCGAATGAGCAAGCGAGCAATGAGTATTTCAGCGGGTACATGAGTTCCACATTCCATATTCACCTTACGTGACAATAGCCATGGGCTCACCGAATGCCATACACTAACTCACTCGCTCACTGTGAATTTAAGAAGATGAGTGAGGTGAAATGAGTCAAATCAAAAGGCAGGAGATTATTCTTGCCTTCCCAGATATCTAAAGCAAATAGCCAAGGTGACCAAGAGTGAGCGAGTGAACCGGTGCCCAGTTAGTGAGTGTGGGGTTGACGATGGCAAGCAAGCTGTCCTGTCCGCTTGGCACTTCTGCCACCTCTAGCGTCCCAAGCATCACCAGGCCATCCCTGGCTAACACATCGTGGCATCGCTCATTGAATGGGTCCTGCGGGAGGGGGATTTTCTTGCCCTCTCCCCCCAAATACGTCGTTATTTCCAATAGAGGGCACATTTTAGTTTCAGCTCTCGTTTATTTTTCAACCCGTCTTCTCCTTTAATCAACTTGCCTAATCTACCTTACTCGGGTTTCCTTACGTCTTCAACTTCACATTCCTCACTCTCTCTCCCGAACCTCCGAGACATTGAAGACACAACGCAAGAGACAAGAGAGCACCTCAGCGTAACGGGCATCAAATCACCCCTCCTCCTCTCCGTCCTTCACCCCATGGGCCCTGCAGCAAAGGGGTGCGGAAGCGTCGGTTGGCGGACCAATCACGTCGCGCCAGCAGCAGATGGAAACCGATGCATTGATGCGCGATGCGCTGGCAGTCTCTGGTCTGTGTGCTGCGCAAAAGGGAATGACAATAAGAGAGAGCAAGACTGCCACTGCTGAACGAGAAAGAGAGAGAAAATAGAGACTGACGAAAAAACTTGATATCTTTTTCCTTTCTCTTTTGACCCCTCTCTTTCCTCTCTTTACTTTTCTTCTCGAGACATCCCACCTTCTCTACTTTGGTTTCTCTCTCTTCTGTCGTCTACCCCTCTCCTAGCTCTCAATTCTTGTACTTCACTCTCTCTCAACACCACCACACGCCGGTGCTGTGTGTCAGACCAGCTCATGTCGATTATATGGTGAAGCGCCTC